CCCCAAAACCCCAAAACCCCAAAACCCCATGAAGGTATCATTTTTAGTAGAGAGGATAACTTATTAAAACAACAGATGAAAAGTTAGGATAAAAATAATGATCTTTTTTGATTTAAAAATTTTGGATGAGAAAATTTATAATAATAATAATTTTAGTTAGTATAATATAACAAAGATGTATCTACCTACCTTTTGGAAGCTAACTGCTGAGGCCACTGCATTCAGATTGAGACACGTTGCTGGCTATGGAGTTCCAATTACATTCATGACTGTTTGGATTATGTACCCATCTCTCTACAACTGGACTTTCTCCTGCCTCATCCCACCCCCAAGAGGTGTACCCAAGAGAAATATGGCAGCTATGTTATGATTTGATAGGTGATACCTACAAGCGTTCATTGACAAGACTCTTGTGATATGAGCATTGTTTGTTCCTTAATAATTATTTAAAACCATACCTATAAGAAAATCTCTTAAAAATATATATAACACAATCTTAAATATTTTTATATTTAATCAAACAAAAATGGAATATTTTTCTATTTTCAAAGGCAAGTACAAGCCAGTTCTTCCTATCATTTTTATTATTATCAACCTGTTTAAATATATCACACATCTCTTGTTTTATTTTTCTAACTTGATTGTCTTTTTATGTGATTCTACTTCTCAGTCTGAGCAACTTATCTCGAGGGATCCATGATACCATACTTATATTCATAGCATACTTCCCTTGCTTCTTATTCATGTTCCATTACACCTGTCAATTTATAGTTGAAGAGCTTCTTCATTTGTCTTGAGTCAGTGTATTCCAAATCCCTTAAGATTTCAAGTGTCCTATTGAATCTTTCTTGTTTAAATTCCTCTAGATACAGCTTCAAATCAAGTTATCGCACAGGACTATCTGCTTGATTCTCTATTATAATTTTTTTGCAAGAATCTAGTATGTTTTTCGAGATCAGTGATGCTTGCTGCTTCAAATTGTACTAGTTCATTTTACTATTTGATACGGGGTACTACCTCAGTTTCTCTCTGATATCATAATCATTGAGCCTAGGAGTCTTATTTTCAATGCTCATTATGTTTATCATCTGAGGTTGAAGTTCTTCTCTTTAGCTTTACTGTCTTTTGCGTTCTCTTATTTTCTTTACTTTTTCATAGAAACTAGTCTAAGTCTCATTTTTTAGCTTCTAGAAGGCAGAGGTATTATTTCTACGGTTGGTCATGAAAAAAGAACTTATGGTCTAAGACATTTGGGAAAAGTCTTTCATAGTCTTCATTTATGATTCATCTGCTTATTTGTTTAGGCCAGGGCTTTAAGAACCTATGCTTCCATCAATTAGCCTCTCTGTTTTTCTTTCTGTGGATTATAATGAACCATTACGGACACTCTAATCAACTATTTAGATCGTTGATTGTTTAAGTAATGGAGTCTAGTCCATAAATGACATCTTAGAATTGAAGTCCTTGATTTTCTATTTGACCTTATCAGTTTAACTTTAATTATTGTATTTGGGATGATACTATGTTTTATTCATATTGCGAGACTGCTTAAAGACTTAATTTTCTTAATTTAAATTTGGCAAAAATTTTTCTTAAGTCATATTTAGGTTACTAAGATCCTTATTTCTAGGAGGTTTTATTTAAGATTTAGCCCTTCTGTCATTGTCAAAGGTGGACATCTACTTTAGATTAATTATTTTATAAGTTGGACTTTATATTACTTCGATTTAACTTGGCAATTTGTTTGAATCTAAAAAGCTTTGAGTGATATTTCTATTGTGCTTAGCACTCTTTTTCAGATCGGTTATCATATCCAAAGTTCTCTTAGGTATTTGTAAGTTAGGAATGTTAAGCTTTTTATTTGATATATTTTATGGGGACAATATTTAAGTTTTATTAGCTTTAACCTATGACTTCAATAGTGATTATTCTTTTAGGACTTTTTATTACATTCCATTCACAATATTCTTATTATTGCTATGCTTTTTATCAGATATTGAATCTAAACTGTTATAGGATGAGTCTGTATGCAGTTTTGAAGTTTTATCATCCGTATTCTAATGAATAAATGTAGCTTTATTTTGTTAAATTAATACTGATGGTGATTGGTTTTGCTATATATTACTAGATTTCAATGTTTATCTCTTGTCCTTTGAGATCAATTTCAACTTTTCTTCTCGTTCTTGCATTCTAGTTACCATTCTTTCTAACTGTACTACCTTATTTTTATCTTTTATATTTTGAAGTTGCATGGTTTTCTGATGTTTAAACTCTTATTATCTTTGTTTATTTTCACTACTTCTATATCTATTATCAACAGATTTCCTTTGCTCGAACAAAACAGTGTTATGAATACCCATCTTTTTGTAATTTATAAATGCTCTGTTATTCTGGCAAAAATCGAGAAAAAATTGCCCCATACTCATTTTTTCTTCTTTAAAAGGTCACTTGTATATTGGTTTAGATGAACTAAACGAAGTCTATTGCTGATCAGTAATTCAATTCTTTTTTAATGGGTTAACTTTTTATTCAGTTTCTGGGTTTTATTCTTCCTATTCTTTTTACTCATGGTTTACATAGGTTTTGTGTAGATTGGAAATAAGATTATCAAGACTGCCAGTCGATTACTCTTAATTAGCTATATAGTCAGCGATTGCCTTAGCCTTTTCCTGAAATTAGCGCATGCCCCACTCCACATAGGTGTTCTTAAAATAAGTGTCAAGAAAATCATCTCTTAGCAATACATCTGCCTTATTACTATCAAAGGCTTTTTCTCCAGCAGCATTACCATTCTTGAATGTTCTGTTTAAAAGTTCAGATTGTTTCTTTATTTACTCAGTATTACTATCATATACTTCTTTAATTATTTCCATCGGTGATCTCTCTCGATCAAGCAACGGCTTTTCCTTAACAACTTCTATGTAATGCTTTGAAAAGTACTTGCTATTGAAATCTGGAGCAGTGATTGCACCTTCTTTATGGGCTTTTTTCCCTTTCATTAAATATTTTAATTTTACTTTAATCTCCTAAAAACAACAGTTTACCAATAACATAGCGTTATTTGATCATCCGGGGTTTTGGGGTTTTGGGGTTTTGGGG